CCAGGCAGTAAGATGTCTCTGTCAATCCTAATGTTTATGTATTATTCTTCTGTGGTCTTTGATGGAGTTGAAGACAGATAGTTATCATCATAGTTTTCCTCAGTTATGATAAAATTTAGATAAGCTGCATATAGAACTTTGGACTCACAAGGATGGGATAGATGATATTGTCTTTAAATCTTGCTTAATGTTGATAGACAAAATATTGTAACTGTGTTCTTACTTGATAGCTGTTCTGTCATATATAATTTGAGTATGTTAAAGTTAAGGCCTTTCTTTTTGTTTAGACAGAAAAGAGGAGATGATGTGGAAGTCCTGTGTATATGTCAATAAAGCACTGTTGGCCAATAGGGAAGCAAGATATGTGGGCTAGGAGTCGAGGAGGACTCTGGGTAGGAGAAACACAGGGAGTCAAGATGTAACCGCCCGGAAACTTCTCCAGTAAGAGTAATACTTAGACTAACAATTATAGGATAAATACTTAAGTCAGAGGTAGCCAGTAAGAAACAAGCAAGGCCAACAGCTTCATAATTAATACAGTGTCTTGTGTGTTATTTGGGGACTGCAGCACGGCAGAGCCCAGGTGACTGGTGGGGAAAAACCAAGTGTCAGACGAGAAAAAGTATCACTCTACAATAAATGGTTTAAACAAAACTGAGACTTCAAAGAAGAGATATGGATGACATTGAAATGAATACAAGGTGAGTTCAGGCCCTTTCTGACAAGCTGGTTAGCATGTTATTAGAGACTGAAGAATACAAGCTCAAGAAATTCAAGTTCCGGACCAATCAAGATGACAGTTCGTAAAAACTCTTGCTACTAAGCCTGGTGACACAAGTTCAGTCTCTGGAGCCCATATGTTGCAAGGAAATAATTGACTTCCACAGGTTGTCTCTGACATCCACATGCTGGCTGTGGCATGTCTGCCTCTGCAAGCACAATAAATAAAGTGTAGAAGAAGAGTGAGAAGAAGAAGGAGGAAAACGAGGAGGAGGAGGAGGAGAAGGAGAAGGAGGAGGAATGAGGAGAAGAAGAAGAAGAAGAAGAAGAAGAAGAAGAAGAAGAAGAAGAAGAAGAAGAAGAAGAAGAAGAAGAAGAAGAAGAAGAAGAAGAAGAAGAAGAAATTTAAAAAGAAGAGGTTTTGGAGCAAATGCTTACCTGGTCACCTATGCTAGTCTTTAGTCTGCAGTGTTTAATATTAGGAAAGAGTTCGTGAAGCAGGTTATTCATGTGATAACTTGCCTTCCCTGTGTACATTTGTTTCATGCTTCTTATACATCTCACATATCTATCAAATTGTGTCCTCTGGTCATGCTGATTACCACCCTTTCTGCTTCAGCCTTTAAAGCATTAATCCTTGATTTTTAGTTCCTGGTGTAGAATGTCTCTGGCTCATCTCCATCTGATTTTCAAGGCTTTTTTGGGGGGGGAGGATTTGTCTTGGTGGGTGTAAACTGTTCCTTGGGTGGGTAGGCTCCCTGCCCCCATCTCTGGGCTATCTGCCTGGTATCAGTGAGATCTCACATGTGAAACAATTTCCTGTTTGCCAGCGGAGGTCTTCTACTTTATACACCCAGGAGTCCAGGTCACAAGGTGGTTTCCTGCTTCACTTCTAGAAGCAAATGTGGTTAACTATTATCAGAGTGGAGTATGGACAACCTGGGATTCTGTGTTTTCTCCTGAGAGCAGCTGAGCTCCTGTTACCATGTCCAGAACAAATGGGGTAGCTTGGGGTACAAGGGCCCAAAGTGGTGTAGAATAGTCAGCATGTTTGAGTGCCTTACTACTGGCTGTTTGTCTTTACTGAACCTAGAATAAGGACACTACATGGGTTTGTGTCTGTTCTCAAAGAGAAACAAATCACCATCCTTTACCCAGGAGCTCTCAGGCATTAACTGATTAAATGTATTTTCTTTCTGATGCCAACTTGTTTTTAGTCTTGGTTGTGATCTCTCCTGGGCTGTTGTTTGTTTTATAAAACAGGGTTTTACTGTGTATCTTTGGCTGGTCTTGAACTCACTGTATTAACCAGGCTGGCCTCAAACCCATAGCAACCTGTACATACCACCATGCCAGGCAGTTCCTGGACTTTTTTATTCCCTACAATTATTTTATTGTATTTTAACAACAACAGGTCTGATTGGTGAACGTTTTACGATGAAGAAGAAAAACAAACAAACAAACAAAAAACCAGACATCTTTGTTCTTCCCCTAGCACCACATGGAGGGTTCTTCGATAAAGGCCCAAAGTATTATCAATATAGCTAGATCAAGACAACCAGGATAGATACCACATGACCCCACCGACCCTTGCTTTGTTTCTCTCTCCTGTTGTTATAAGCACTGTGAGGAAAGATGTTGAGTCACTAGACTTCAGCTCTGTGGGTGTGCTAATGCTTCCATAAAGCCCCTTGCTGTGTTGCCACTAGTTCTAGAACCAGTCCTGGGCTCTGTCCATCAAACCTCCTGGATATAGGGCTTTTGCCTTCACTCTAGAATCAGAGTCCTCCCTAGAGTTCTCTGGAATCCCCAGACCTTGGCAGGCTCCACACCTCTGTAACAGACAGAGAACATGTATGATTAGTGTCAACTCTGATTATCTAGTCTTTCCATGGAGCAGCCCGTGGGAACTGAAGAGAAAGTGAGTATCAAGGGAAAGCTGTCTTTCTTGAGCTGGGGCTACAAGAGCCTTAACATCTCAGGGCTGCTCCCTCACACAGTATTGGAGAGTGGGTACATTTAAACTGTTCTTATTATGGAATATTCCTTTATACTGTGTGAAGATGTACCACTGTGACTGGTTTAATAAAGAGCTAAATGGCCATTACCGGGCAGGAAGAGGTTAGGTGGGACTTTTGGGGACAGAGAAGTCTCTGGAAAGAGAAAGGAGGAGTTGCCAGCAAGACAGAGAGGAAGGAGGACTGGGCGTGCAGATTAAAGGCAACTGTTAGGGTCCAAGAAAAGAGTAACAGCCATGCATACGATAAGCAAGGACACATTTCTTGTTTCCAACAAGTTGGGGTGTCAAATAGTGACCCCCAAAGAATGTCACAAGCTCTTTTTAAGTGGAGTTAGGGGAATTCCAGGGAGGAGGGATTAAACTGGGGATGATTGGTGGAGGAAAAATTAATTCGGGAGCTGAATTGTGAAAGCTGATTGGCGGGAGACCTAGTGGTTAGGGGTAGGGAAGTAGCTAGCAAAAGGCTGGGGGCAGCTGCTGATCCAGCAAAAGGGCTTTGGGGGCTGCTGAGCCAGCAGAAGGCTATGGGGCACCTGCTTATTGCTTGCCCCTCAGTTGTGATTTTCCTGAGGGCTGCTTGCTCTGCTCTGATCCATTCCAGGGAACTGAAACTAAGGTCCAGTCTCTGTCAGGGGTCTTAGCAGGACCTGTCTTGGCTATAGTCTTCCCCCACCCTCTCCTTTCAATAACCACATAAAAGAATGTTTATTAAAAATATGGGTCAAAGCCGGGCGTTGGTGGCGCACGCCTTTAATCCCAGCACTTGGGAGGCAGAGGCAGGCGGATCTCTGTGAGTTCGAGGCCAGCCTGGTCTACAAGAGCTAGTTCCAGGACAGCCTCCAAAGCCACAGAGAAACCCTGTCTCGAAAAAAACCAAAAAAAAAAATATGGGTCAATTTAGTAATAAGAACTAGTTAGGAACAAGCCTAACCTAAGGCCAAGCTTTCATAATTAATAGTAGCCTCCAAGTCATTACTGGGGAGCCGACAGTACTGCTGAAAAAGACCGACTACATCTGATGGCAACTGCCTTTAGGCCTGTGAGTCACTTGTCTGGAGAGCTTATCTGTCTAAACATAACCACAAGGTGTTAAGTTGGCTTTCCCCTAGCCACAGTGGAATCTGTTTATGTTTCAAAATTAACTGAATTTCCTGACTAAGTACAATGCTTTTTGCATGAAACTGGAGATGATCACTATAGAAATATCAAGTCATTTTCTAAGCACATCATGAAATGTATCTAAATGTGTTACACTTTGTACTTGAGTTTTCTTTATTAAAATGTCTTTTTAAAGTCCTGGTGAAGTTACTGGCACTGCTATCTGAACAAAATTTCCCTCCTCTGTAGTCTGAGGAATCAACCTGCCTGGCATTCTAGTCTGGCTTTTATGTTTACGGCTGTCTAAATTGAGTATGAAAGCAAGTGGGATTTTATTGACTGATTTTTGGATACTCAAACTGAATATAGTGTCTGAAACATAGGAGTGCCCTACATATTTTTTCTCTTATGAGTGTAAGATTAATTTTCTTTAGTTATTCAATGAATCAGAATACTACCCCTCACCCAGATCCTCTGAAGGCTAAAACATTGCTGTTAGCTAATAACTGACCATAGTCTCTAGTACCACTGTTTTGAAACTTCTGTTTTACTGTTCAGGTTATGTGTGAAAAATCTTAAAGGGGTGAGTTGAGATTATTTTCTTTAAAAAACAAGGTGTTGCTGGGTGGCTGTATTGCACAGTGGCTGCATACTAGACTTCTAAAATGAAGTGTTGCTTGTAGACTGTTAGTTACCTTGCACTTCAGACCCCTCTTACTGCAAATACTGTTAGCCTGATATGGGACTGTAAGCTTAAATGAAGGCTCTTTCATGGCTACAGATTCTTTGTGGAGGTTTGCATCCCATGCCCTGCCTCTCATCTCCTTAGAGGTAAAGATAGCAAGGATCCTTGTTGCCAATTTCTGGAGTGTGGGTCTGATTTGATATTCCTTGCTTATAAGAATGTAGCCTTTGGGGAAATACATAATTCTGGTGATCCCTAAGATAAATCTCATGTTTTTAATGAGTCACAAAAATCTTTCAAAACAGCTCCCTAAGGCTTCCCATGTTTGCTATAATCTCTCAGATGAAAGCTAGCTTCTGCGGTTGCTTTTCTGTTGTTACTCCCTGTTTTATTTACATATGATATTCTACAGATCTTTTTTACCTGCCTTAATGGTTTAGAATTTTTCTGTATTGCAAAACATACAATGACATCATGAAACTTTTTTTCAGTTTTGTTTTTATTTTATGTGTGAGCGCTTGTCTTCATGCTTGTCTGTACCCCACGTGCACGCAGGTGCCTTCAGAAGCCAGAGGAGAGTCTTGGATCCTTTGGAACTGGAGTCAAGGTGATGTGAGCTGCCATGTAGTGCTGAGGATGAAACCAGTGCTCTTCACAACTAAGCCACCTGTCCAGCCTTCCTTTTTAAAATTTCAATGAGACCTACTATCTGGCTGCCTTCCCCTCTGGTCTCAGCTTGTTTCTGGTACTATTATAAAATACCCAGGCAAGTTGTAAATAACAGAAATCCATTTCTCAGAATGATGAAACTTGGGAATATAAGACCAGGGTAATAGCATCTGTTGGGTTTGGTGAGGGCATCTTTAGGTTGTATTTCAGAAGTTTCCTGTACTCTCTTGTGGCCAAAAGAAGAGGGAGCAGTCTCTGTGGGTGTTTTCTTAAGAGACAATTTCACTAACAACGACTTCACACTCATGACTTAAAGCATTATGTTCCAATGCTTGTCTCCTAGCATTAAAATACCAGGAGTTGGGATTTCAAATATGAAGTTTGGACATGCACATTCAGTATATAACATTACCCATGGCCCCAGGAATTCATTTCTTCATTCATTCGACCTTAATAATCTCAGAGCTTTCAACTCTCTCTATCACCACCTTTCAAACTTCAAGTTCAAGGACTCCTCTAAATTTGACCCGAATCAGATGAGAATCAGATAGTCAAAACTCTTTTCTAGTTGTAACTTGTAAAATGAAACAAGCCTGGCACACGCCTTTAATCCCAGCACTCAGGAGGCAGAGGCAGGTGGATTCCTATGAGTTCGAGGCCAGCCTGGTCTACAAAGCGAATTCCAGGACAGCCTCCAAAACAATACAGAGAAACCCTGTCTCAAAACAACAACAACAACAACAACAACAAACCAAAAAGAAACAAGTCATGCATTTTCAAAGTTCCATGGCGGGGCCGGCCTTCAATAGAAACTGTCATCTCAACCGGAAAACACAAGGAAGAAGGAACAGTGGAGTCCCAAGAAAGCAGAGAAAAACAAGGCGAGCTTCATGGTACCTTCAGGTTCCAAAAGCAGTGCTGCTGGCCCTTACTCAAACCTGCTCTCGCAGACTGTCTGAAGCTGGCTTTCTTTCACCACTGGGAGGGCAACTCTGCGGGCGCACGGTGCTCACTACCCTGTGGTTCTCCACTGTAGCCCACTCAACCTGCCTTTTTCTATAGTGCTGGAGCTGAAACGGCTGGGTGCTACCCGGGGCTGCCCTCTCCCACTCTCTTAGCTCCCCTCCGTGTTAGTCCCATTTTGAAACAGGCTCCTCCTTGCTTCCCTCATTCCCCACATCCTAGGCAGATTGGAGAATGATGTGGATGGTAGCCTTGATAGTATTTGAGTTAGCATCTCTTGTTTATGGGACACAGAATGTTAAACGAATCGTTCTGTGGCTTGTTTTTGAAGGTGTAGGCCTGCTGTTTTGTGTTCGGTCTCTTTTATTTTTAGTTCCAATCCGGGACAATCCTTTCTCTTGCCCTGGGTGCTTCGGGTGGTTAATGAAGTCCCAACACTCCCTTCTTCATGCAGATGTACGTGTTTAGAGCTGAACAGACCTCTGTGTAGGCCTTAAAACTCGAGCCGTAGACAGCACAGGATCCGTTCTGCATTTCCACCAGTGTTAACCTGAACACAGAGAACCACATTTGACATCCAGACCTGTTTAAAGGAGGATATAAACTTGGAATCTTATTTATGCGATTTGTCGTGGGAATTTCAAACATATTTTGCATCATTGTAGCACCAAGTTTAGCCCTCCTAACTTACACACATACAAAATAGAACAAGTTTAGATAAAAAAATAAAAGTAAAAATGTCTTCTTTTGGATTTTTGTTTTGTTTTTCTTAAGAGCTAATTTTTATGCATTTTAATTTTTTATTTGCATTAAGTGTTTTGCCTGAATGTATGTTCTGTGTGAGGGTGTCAGATCTTGGAGTTGCAGACAGTTGTTAGCTGCCATGTGGGTGCTGGGAATTGCACCTTGGACCTCTGGAAGAGCAGTCATTTGAGTCATCTCTCCAGCCCTTGTTTCTGTTTTTGGAGACAGGGTTTCCCTGCCTAGCCCTGAATGTACTGGAACTCTCTAAGTAGACCAGGCTGACCTTGAGCTCAGAGATCCACCTGATTCTGCCTCCAGAGTGCTGGGATTAAAGGAATTCACCACTGCCACCCAGCTCTTGTACTCATATCAGAAATTTTAAATTCTTTATAATGCTTCAAAGCATTTATTTAATAGTAAATATTTACGTTAGAAATTAATGTAGAGCTAAACTTAGAATTCAAGTGCTGTGGTGCTTTGTGCAAAAATAAGCAATTTTCCACAAGTGAACAGATTACCATTGTCAGATACAACTGACTGCAGATAATAAATAATCTAAACAAAGCCCACATCTGTACCTGAACATGTCTTTTGTATCTTGTCCTGATTTCCTAAATAATCAGTGTGATAATTGTTTACATAATATTTGCAATTATATAATATGTACAATATATAACATATGGTAAATATGTAATATACAATATTGTATTATATAATATACACAATTATACAATATAAAAATTATTTAATTTTTAGAGAACTGTCTACAGTCTACAAGCAGATTCTATGCCATTCTGAAAAAACAGGATGGTCATTCATGGAATTTAGTATCTACGGAAAGAGTGAGACTTATACACAATATACTTGGTAAATAATCAAAAATATTTGTAATATTCTCAACAAATGTATACATATAAATATGTATGTATATGCATGCATGCATGTGTATGTGATGTGTGTGTGCGATATATATGTGTGAGTGTGTGCACATGCAGGGGTAATGCATGTGGTATGTGTGTTAGTGTGGCATATGTATGCTCACATATGTGTGTATGCAAGTGAATATGTGCATTTTACCTTTGTCTTGACATTTGGAATTCTATGGATTAATATACTAAATGGACTTTTTCTTATTCTAAGAAAAAGTCAGAAATAGAAAACTCAAGAAAGTGATGATGCCTTTTCAGTGTGAAATTGAAAACTAATGGACAATTATCTGATGTTAACTTCATTTAACAGGAGGAGGTATGAAATACAATTGGTATAGACACAAATAGTTGGTACCTTCAGGGAAATTTCTACTAGCTGATTTCTTTGTGGGTTTTAATCAAAGCACATTAACACATTAATTATTAACTTTTAAATTGTCACTATAATTTTATGCATTTGTGGGCTATAACATCATGATGGGATACATGTAAATGTCATGTATTGATTATATAAAGGTATTTAACATCTTTGGAGCCTCATGAATTTGTTATTTCTACTGTGCCATTGTAAAATAGAGTGGATACAGTTAGCAATAAGTTACTTCATATTTTAAAATACCTGTAAACATAAAACCAGAAAGGAGGGTACTAGGGATGGAAGGGTATGGCTTATTTTATGCCAGTTTTATCTTGATAATTCTAGCCACAAAATATAGGCTTCATCCTTCTATCTATAAAATGGACATAATATAAAATCAATCCTTCTCAGTACTTAGCCCATAGCAATCAATTTAAATGAGGGCCTAATATTGTTCTAACTCTATTCGGATGTTACTGTATCAGATTGTGAAAGTGAAGCTGACAAATGAGTGCTCCTAGGGACAGTTGAGCAGACACATAGCTCAAAACCTGCTGGTCTGAGACTCACTGGTTAGATGAGAGAGTGGAGCCATCTTCCCACTGCCAGGAGCCATTTCCTTGAATCTGGGATAGTCCCATCCAGTGATATGACTTCACCAACTTAAAGAAATCCTGTTAGAAACCACAAAAAAAGTACAGAAGAAAGCTGTGCTTAGAACATTAGAAAACAAAGCCAAATCACTCACTTCCTACTTGGGGAAGAATGCATTGTCCAGTGGCCAGTGTAATTCTCACTTAACCATAGGTACTTGCAAAATATCTTTGCTCTCTTAAATTTTCCATTTTTGGAGGTGGCCAATAGTTGTGTAGTGTGTATGTTTTTGAGTGTGCAGCAGATCATTCTGTACACAAAAGGTAGAAGAAGACATCAGATGTCTTCCTCCATCGCTCCTTGCCTTATTGTCTTGAAACATGATCCCTCACTGAAGCAAAACTTCATCTCGATCTCCCATGCTCTTGGATAGGTAGGATCAACGTAGTAAAAATGGCAATCCTGCCAAAAGCAATCTACAGATTCATTGCAATCCCCATTAAAATCCCAGCACAGTTCTTCACAGACCTTGAAAGAACAATAATCAATTTTGTATGGAAAAACAAAAGACCCAGGATAGCCAAAACAACCCTGTTCAACAAGGCAACGTCCGGAGGCATCACCATCCCTGACCTCAAGCTCTATTATAGAGCTATAGTCCTGAAAACAGCTTGGTATTGGCACAAAAATAGACAGGTAGACCAATGGAATCGAATTGAAAACCCCGATATTAACCCACACACGTACGAACATCTGATCTTTGACAAAGAAGCTAAAAATATACAATGGAATAAAGAAAGCATCTTCAACAAATGGTGCTGGCATAACTGGAGACTGGCATGTAGAAGAATGCAGATCGATCCATGTCTATCGCCATGCACAAAACTTAAGTCCAAATGGATCAAAGACCTCAACATAAATCCAGCCACACTGAACCTCTTAGAAGAGAAAGTGGGTGGTACCCTTGAACGAATTGGTACAGGAGACAGCTTCCTGAACATAACACCAGTAGCACAGGCAGTAAGATCAACAATTAATAAATGGGACCTACTGAAACTGAGAAGCTTCTGTAAGGCAAAGGACACAGTCAGCAAGACAAAAAGGCAGCCCACAGAATGGGAAAAATATTCACTAATCCCACATCTGACAGAGGGTTGATCTCCAAAATTTACAAAGAACTCAAGAAGCAAGTCTCCAAAACAGCAAAGGACCCTATTAAAAAGTGGGCTGCAGAACTAAATAGAGAGTTTTCAATAGAGGAGTCTAAAATGGCTGAGAGGCACTTGAGAAAGTGCTCAACATCCTTAGCCATCCGGGAAATGCAAATCAAAGCAACTCTGAGATACCATCTCACTCCTGTCAGAATGGCTAAAATCAAAAACACCAATGACAATTTATGCTGGAGAGGGTGTGGTGAAAGGGGGACACTCCTCCATTGCTGGTGGGAGTGCCAACTGGTTCAGCCACTTTGGAAAGCAGTATGGAGATTCCTCAGAAAAATGGGAATAAACCTACCACAAGACCCAGCAACTGCACTCTTAGGCATATATCCAAAAGATGCCCATTCATATAACAAAGATGTCTGTTCCACTATGTTCATAGCAGCTTTATTTGTAATAGCCAGAACTTGGAAGCAATCTAGATGTCCCTCACCCGAAGAGTGGATAGAGAAAATGTGGTACATCTACACAATGGAGTACTATTCAGCAGAAAAAAATAACGGAATCATGAGATTCGCAGGCAAAAGGATGACACTAGAAGAAACCATCCTGAGTGAGGTAACCCAGTCACAAAAAGAGAAACATGGCATGTACTCTCTCATATATGGATTTTAGACATAGATCTGGGGAGTGCCAGCCTACAATCCTATGGCCAGAGAGTCTGGGAAACAGAAACTACATTTAGTGGCTGGTTAAGTACTGAGCTGAACTCAAGAAAGCCAGTATCAGAGAGGGAGGACTGATGATCAAAGGGATTGAGACTGGGCTGGTTTAACCCCCAGAAACAGCTGACCAGACAAAGGTTAACTCTTGAATCCCAGGCATTAGCCTGGGAAGCCAGCATGGGACTGATCAAGACCCCCTGAATCTGGGTGTCAGTGAAGAGGCCTAGGGAATCTATTGAGCCTTGGGCAGCAGATCAGTACCCATACCAAGTATACACACGGACTTTGGACTCCCATAGAACAATGTGAGGTGCACTCTCACCCTGAACTCTTGGGAAAGGGTCTAGGCCCTGCCCTATATGAAATGACAGACTATGGACACCCCCGTGGAGGGCCTCACCCTCCCTGGGGGAATGAGGGGATAACGGGGGGGGGGATGCGGGGAGGGCACGGGAGGAGGGGAGGGAAAGGGAGAGGGACCTCGTACTGACTTGTGAAGCAACCTTGTTTCTTATCTAAATTTAAAATGGAAAATAAAAAATATTAATAAAAAAAACAAAACAAAAAAAAACTTCATCTCTTCAGCTAAGCTGTCTGGACAGTAGCTTTTGGAATCTGTCTATGACCTCAGGGCTGGGGTTACAGACATGTGCAACAATGCCTAGTGAGTGCTGTAGTTTTCATAGACAGTTCTCAAGTTTTCAGAACAAATACTGAGCCCTCTTCCTAGATCCTACCTCCTTAATTTTATTAACATTGTCTGGAGTGGGTGTTAGAACATCTTTGTGCTTCCTATATGTTCCAGGTCCATGCTCCAGTGAGTTACCTACTTCTTGTATTATAATTAAATGGAATTAAATATGCAACCTGATCCTCTTTGCTGTATATCTTCAGAAGGGTGGAATTTTGAGACAAACACGAAGCTTGGCTCTGATTCCAGGTTTTGCTCTCATTAAAAAATTGGTAGCAGTTGTTTCTATAACATATCCAGTCATTAGGGCAATGACCACAGTAACCTAGAAAGAGAATAGATTAGCTCTATGCACACCTGACTATTGAAGCAGATTTTATCTAGGCAAGTTAAACATGTTTCCTGTTCCAACTCTCAAATTGTAAACAATTAAACCACTATAATATAAAGGGAGGTTTTCTACTATTAATTTATTATTTTCTCTGACTGAAAATAGATATTTTTCGTATACAATATATCCAGATAACAGTTTCCCTTCCCCTATGCCTCTTAATTCTTCTCACCCCTCCTCCCTGCAGATACACTCCCTTCCTGTCTCTCATTAGAAAATAACAGGATTCTAAGAGATAACAACTAAATATGACAAAATAAAATGTAATAAGATGAAGCAAAAACTATCATTTATTCATTTTTGTTTCCAGATAGGGCCCCTTGTAACCCATTCTGGCTTTGAACTCTCTACGCCCTAAGGTTGGCTGCAACCTCCCAATCCTCCTGCCCCTACCTGTGAAGTGATGGAATTAAGGAATGCAATACCATGACTGGCTCTTCCACCTGTTACAAGCCCTCCACAGTTAAAAACAATAAAGTTTATAGTGAGCTATAGACAAAAACAGCAATTTCATTTTTCTATTTGACTGCCTTTGAATGTATACTAAATCCTGGTACATGCAGATGTTTGCAATATTAAAAAGAGTCACTCACCTCTTGAAGAAGTTGAAACCCCATTGTTGCATAATGCTATCAAAATAATTATAATTTAAAAAAGTTAGTAACTTTTATTGCAAAAAAAAGTGACTTTTATGTTTGTGGAACAGCAACAAAATGGTAAAAAAGACACTTCCAATATTGCTACTGTGTGTTTATGTGCTTTTGTTTTAGCCTTTACTTTTTAAACTGTGTGTGTGTGTGTCTGTCTGTCTGTCTGTCTGTGTGTCTGTGTTTCTGTGTCTGTGTGTGTGCGTGCCCACATGGAGTGGGTATGGAGGTCAGGGAACAACACTGTGGAGTCAGATCTTCCTTCTATCTTTTTGAGGTACCTTTACCTGTCTGAGCCATCTCTCTGGTTCCCAGTGTACTTCTGAAATCTAATTAGTGTACCACATTACACCCCATTGATTAACTTACAAGTTATGAAAATGGCAAACCATATCAACGTCATAATGATGAAGTGTATTGCCATGGCTGCAGCAATGACTCGGGTAACGAACGATGGAGATACTACCAAAGAAAGACAAGAAAAGTCAGAGCAGAAGGAAGGCTAATGGATCCATGTTTTCTGTTTAGTATAAATGTTGGCATTCTTCTTTAATAAAAGGAAGAGGAAGTACTTTTTCTTAGGACAAGCAGCAAAAATATGCTATAAATGACTTAAATATAAGAATACAAAATGTGGTGGCCATTCCTATGAGGCTTTGTAAGTTTTCTAAACTTTTTTTTCTTTTTTAGACAAAGTCTATCTATGTAGCCCAAGCCTGTACACAAATTTTCAACCAACCAGCTTCAGATCCCAAGTGGTGGGATTACTGATCACGCTACTCTTTTCTTCTCCTAGAATAAATCATATTTCTCAATTTTAATTTCTATGTAGATGTAAGAGCTATTAAATATGAATATTTTTATAATCATTGTTTTTTAAAAACATGCATTTCAGGTATTAATAAAATATCTGTATGTTTTTGGATCAGGCAGTAGTTCAGGATTGTGTCATATTTTGACATATAAAGAGGTTAAATTTCATAAATACTTGTACTTGTTCTCACTGATATTTGCACAAAATTTATTACTAGACTCTTAATTTTCTCAGTGAGCATTTCAATTGTATGTTAGGTTTCAGTGTTATTAATTATAGTATGTTTCATAATCAGTTTTGAGTTCTTCTATAGGGGAGTTTCTTCTTATAATACCTAGCAGGTAAAAGGGACACCCATGTTACATTTTCTAATGACTGAAAATTTCAGCACACAAAGCTGACACTAATTTTACAGTAACACAAATAAATGAAATTCTCTGCTCCACTGCATTTTTCTCAGTAGTGAAAATTATTTACATGTTTTGATGTATAAAATTAGTAGGCAGTTCTTTTCTACATTAAATTTTTATTTCCTGTTATGAATAAATTGAGAAATTTTTACTTATACATAATTTTTTATTTCTTTGAGGCTTTTCTTGTTTTTATTAAGATACCGACTTTTTCTATACTTCTCAGTTGATGAATATGACACCATACTTGGTCATAATTTTGCATACTTGTTTCGGATATTATTTCTTTTTATGATACCTTCACAGGAATGGCTTATTTTTCCCAGGTTGATTTGTTCAAACTTCCCATTATGGCTCACTTTTTTTAGATATGAATAAAATACACTTATAATAATGCCACATATTTACTCTTACTTGGTCCATTTAATTTTTGTGTGTGTGATATTTGGCAGAATGAAATTTACAGAAGATATTCTTTGTAGAATGCACACTGAATTTTTCAAGCACTACTTATAGAATAAACCTGTGTCTTGTTATTTATATGAAGAACTTTCATTAGCATGTTATGACTCTACTCTATATTCATTATTCATACTTCCACTAATCAGCTTGCCTATTCCCTACATGCATAACTTTCCTGCCTTCATAAAATGCTTGCATACTTGATAGTGCCTGTCCTACAACAGCACATTTCTGTTTCAAAGTTGCATGTGGTTTATAGCGTTTTATTTGTGCCTTAAGACTTTAAACGAAGGACTGGAAAGCTGTCTCATCAATTAAAAGTGTTTACTGCTGTTCCAGAAGCCCTGAGTTCTGTTTTCACCTAACCACAACCTGTGATTCCAGCTCCTGGGGGCTTGGCACCCTCTTCTGGCCTCCAGGATCATCTGCACTCACATGTACACACACACACACACACACACACACACACACACACACACACACACACACACACACAATCATTTTTAACAAAAACTTTAAAATGAGCTTTCCCAGAATGTGACACTTTTAAACTATGGTGTATTGACATCCATTAGAATCATGTGCACACATATAAAGGTTTTTTTTTTGGTAAGGTGCTATATTTATCTTTGAATATTTTCTATTTCCAGTCTGTTTGTTTTATTTTTTGTTCATTAGCTATTTTAACTAAGTAATCAAGCCATTTCTAGATAGCTTTTAATATAAAAGTTTATTTTTACCTTTTTCTTTTATCTTTGTTCTTTCCAGTACCATTTGTTCATATTTTATTTAGAAAAGAAATTGATTTTCATTTGTGTCTTAATTTTTAGTCAAGTCTACATTTTAATTCTGTTACTACTAATTTTAACATATAGGGAGCATCCATTTGCAAGTTTTCAAGTTTTGATTTACATCTTTACCAATTATACTAATTTTGGTTTTAAATTCTGATGTGATCAGTATTTTGAATAGTAATTCAAAATAGTAGACCTTATTTTGAATAGTAATTTAGCAACCTTGAAACAATGTTCAACAGTGACAATAACTGTATTTTTGCATTTTAATAATTATATTGAAGAGTCCTCCTAACATTTAATAGTATAGTAAAGGATTTTGCATATATCCTATGTGTTTATACACTCAAACATTTACATTTATAGAAATTTGAAGATCAAAGTCTCATAAAATTACAACTTGTACTGAATTTTATTCACTGCCTATTCAACATTTTGTACACAATTACATAAGCAATCACCTTTGGTTATTACATATCACATGATTGAATTCCTAAAATTAATTCTTTTAAAATAACTGTGGCTAGTAATTTACTTTTTTAGTTTTAACTCTTTCTTTGTAAATTGCTTATTCTATCTTATTTTTTTTTTTTGAGAAGGCATCTCATGTAACCAAGCTGAGCTAGAACTCTTTACTGCTGAGGATAAACCTTGACCTCCCCATTCTCTTGCCTCTACTTATCAAGTCCTGGGTTAACAGGCATGTGTGGCCATACCAGGGTCAGGTTTTTCCCTTTGTATAAACCATTACAAATTCTAATATCAAAAATACTCTGTCTTGAAAACAGTGTGAGTACAAATTTTCTCCACTACCTTCTCTGAAAGGTCTTTAAGAATTACTACAAATTGTTGCTTCTATCATGCTTAAAAAGATAGTTGGATGGTCTTTAAATTTTCTTTTCTATGGTCTATTTTTAGATATTCTTCCTTAAAAGTAGACCTCCCCCAAAATTCTTGTTTCATTTGTGCTTATGATAAATTATCTCATCATCTGTAACTTGATATTACTTCCTAATATTATCTTAGTGTAAATACAACTTACTTCCCTGGGGAGGTAAGCACAAGCATTGTCACTGACAATAGTGTGGTTTCTACATTCATCTCCACCCATCAGAAGGCTACAAATGGGACCCGAGACTTACCGTTTTCTCTGGATTGGCTGGTAAGCAGTGCAGATCTTTGTTTCTGCCACCCTTGAGAAGAAGTCCTCTTTTTTGGCTTGAGTTTGCAATTATGGCATTTGCTCATCTCTAGAGAAAACAATTCAAACTGGCACAAGCCCATGGTCATTTGAAGATAATTTTCTACCCTTCAATTTGTGATTCTATGGATATACATTCTGTAAACAACCTTTTAAGAGACAGCATGAGTTTCCTTTTACTTTTTATTATCTTATTATGATGCTTATGCTTAGTAACATACATATATACATATATATATATATATATATATATGTATGTGTGTGTGTTTGCTCATTCCTTGGAGAATTAATGTTAGCCAAATAGTATGTAATTTTGAAATAAATGAATTCACAATGTAAAATGAAATTTAATATCAAAACAAGCTTTTTATAATGGAAGGAATTAAGAGAGGAAGACAGACATATAATTATATCATACACCTAGATGTAATAATGACAAGCAGAAGTAATTTAAAAATCTGCGTTAAGTTTCCTAGATTGCAGAAGAGAAAGAGTATTGACATAATATCCTAGGACATCGTGACAATTAAATGAAATGTGATGAATTTTGTATCAATAGTGCCAGCTACATACAACAGTATATCTTTTTTTTTTGGTTTTATGAGACAAGGTTTCTCTGTATTGTTTTGGAGGCTGTCGGTCCAGCCTGGCCTCGAACTCACAGAGATCTGCCTGCCTCTGCCTCCCGAGTGCTGGGATTAAAGGCGTGCGCCACCACCGCCTGGCACCAACAGTATATCTAAAATGCCAACTTTCTTAATAGTCAGACATATACAAAGGCCTAAATAGTATACTTCAAAGTCTCAGAATAAATATAACAAGTCTTGCCTTTGAAGAAAGCAAGTTAAACAAAGCCATTTAACTACTTTATTTAAATTTTCATCATTAATTGGATCATTCTGTAAAAGAAAAGATATTATCCATTTTCTTTTAGATTTAAATAGTCACCCTAAATATTACTTGCACATAAAATCCTATTATTAACCTGATGAAAATAGTACCGGTTGCTTTGTTGGGTGAAAAATTTGATTGTAAGAGATATTCAACATAATATTGTTTATTTAGCATGATATTAGAAATTATGAATAGTTTAAAAATCTATATTCCATGCTTTCCATAGTCTAGAATTCCACTAAAAGAAATCCAGCAATGGTTATTTTCTATTGGTAGAAAGAGAAATGAAAATTAACAGAGACCATGAACTGCCCCAATTTAAAAATGGAAAGCTGAGAAAATTTGATTAAAAACTAGCTCTTCTGATTTGAAGTCCTCATGCCCTTTCATTAATTCAAGGTATCCTGTTATAAATGATTTCGTAGTAGATAGATGGTGAAGTAAAGGGAAAAATTCTTTTCACATTCACAAAAACTAAAATTTAAATACAATATAAACATAATGTGAAATAAACATGATGAGAACCGCAGTGAGTGGCTTCCCAGGCCTGACATTGCTTTGTATATATGCTGTATATGTTAGCATTACAGAGCAATAGACTTACACATTCACATGCACACGACGTACCTGGACCGTGATGAGATGTTCGGCCATGAATCGATGTCATCATGTGACGATTATGACACATTTACTTGAACAGACCAGGGTTCTGTTTTTTGTTGTTAATCAATTAACTATTTGCTTTGAGACCACTGTCCCTATGAAGCCCTGACTATCCTAGAACTCCCAATATAGACCAGGCCAGCCTCTGATTTACCAGAGATGTTCTCTCTGCCTCCCAAGTGCTGGAATTAAAGACATGTGCCACCACTTGTGACTCTGATCTAATTTCTGTAATGCACAAAGGACTCTTAAAAAATGAGGGGGAGTACACAGGGTTTTTTTCTGATATCTTTGTACTGAGATGAAATATTTGTATTGGAGAAGTAAAAATACAGAAAAACAATTACCCTCAAACATGAAATAATGGAAACAAGAGGTCACACCAGACAAATGGAAATTGGTTAACACTTTTTATTCTAAAATGAAGACCTATTGTTTCTAAATACCATAAAAATATAATAAATATTTTTAAATTCAATTGCACTGAGATATTTAATAGGAAATATTTGGCTTCCAGACATTGAGCATCAGCACATACAATTATTTTTTAGCATTTCTATTTGGTGATGAACATATTTATAAATAAATTCATGTTAGAGATACATTAATTTCTGTGATATATTTTCTCTTTATCTTTTACTAAAACTTCTGTTCACCACCACCAATGAAATGATACCATTTTCATCAATTATTTCATATATGCTTATACTGTAACATTTTCTATTGTCTATCAGTGTTCCCAGAGAGTAGCTATTCGATAAATATTGATTGGATTTTAAAGATGGACAGTATTCATATTTTATTATGATAATTGGACAAAATGGATATAAGTTGTCTCTTCTTGATTGTGAAGTTGTGTTATCTCAGAACTTCCATAAGATGTGAGAATTCTCATTGAAACATCAGTCTTCTAGTCCCCAAGAAATATTTAGCTTAAGAGGTAGTAGGGCTTGTTAGCTCAACAACACATCTTTTTACTCTTCTGTAGACAAGTCCTGATTATGGACACTGGATATTGTGAAAAAGAATATATTGATATCTGAGACAAGAAAATTAATCTTTTCATCCAACACTTCTACTCAAACACTTAAGCTACAGAACTTTCCTAACTTGACATAAAACTCCCCATTTCTTGTAACAGTTGTTACAATCACATGCATAAACATGTACACTCACAGTCCTGGGAAGAGAAGGGAGGTCCTCTGTCTTGTGAATCAAATACTTCTTTATACTCAATTAGAAAGTTGTGGCCTTGTTCTGAGCAATAATTTAGAACTGGAAGTAGAGATGTCTGTGTAATTTCTGTCTCTGAGGCTGATAATGTTGAGGTTAGTCTCTTCTTCCTGTGAAGAAGCATCACACAGCCACAGCACATCTGTATTCCTGTGCATACGATTTGACTTATTTGGTGAATGAGGTTTGATCACAGTTTGTGAATAAATGTCAGGTTCTCAGATCATTTTAGGACTTGGAAATGGTGATTTTAATGGTAAGAAGTAACATGGAGTTATATAAGATGATACTCAAAAGTGAAAAATATAAAACATGGCTTTCACTCTCTGAAATTAAACAGAGGGAGAATTTTTTAAATGCTTTACTCACCCTGTGCACAAACTTGGGTTCATTTGATTGGAATCAAGTCTGCTTCACTGTGTAAGTCAGAACCATGGGAAATACCTTTCTTGACCATACATAGAAACATGTATGTTATATGCTTGCTGGGGTACAATCTTTTTGTACACTGTGAATATTTGTCCACATTTGCTTAATAAAGGGCTAAATGGTCAATACCTAGGCATGTACAGGTTAGGCAAAACTTGTGGATAAAAGTAGATCAAGGGGAGGAAAATGAGAGGACTCATGAGCATTTATTATTAATAATAAATCTCTGTGTGGTTATTTGGGAGTGGACTACAGGAAAAAGCTGACCAGTGGCCCCAATGGGAAAACTCTGCCTATATATGCATACATATGAAAATAGAAAAAGTATATATAGTAATAGCCTCATAAAGGCTGATGATATGTTTATGTTCATATAAAATAAAGATAATTTGATGTTCATTTAATAGGACTAGTGTTCCCTAAAAGTGTAGCATTAACTACAAATGTTATTATATTGCTAAAGATGATTTACTAGAAGAAACAATCATTTTATTAAATGTATAGTTAAACTAACAGTAGAAGCATTGCAAATATGTTTGTGAGGAAATACAAAGCATTCCTGTGTGAAACCTACCATGTCACTGTATAGGAAACATTAAAAATAACAAATAAATATTTATAGTGCCTCTGAATATTCATAAAGCTGTCAAGTATTTGTAGCATGCTTTAAATATTTGGTTCAATTCTGAGTAATAATCTGGGTTTTGTTGTAGGAAAAATCTCTAGTATGTATTAAGTACATAGCCAAGATTCAGGGGTCTACAACGCAAGAAACAAAAGTTGGTGACATCATTTTTATTATCTTTTTGTTTTGCTAGAAGGAGGACTCAGCAATTGACAGGACTTGCTGCTCTTTCAGAGGACTGTGGTTGGATTCCCAACATCCACGTGATGGAGTCCATAACTCCAGTTTCTGGGAGAAGACAATATCAGGGGCCAGCTGTCTAGGTACAAAACAAGCCACAGAATAAGAAGTAAAGAAAGGTATACAGAATAAAGTAAAAGCCTAGAGGCAAAGGTACATGTGATAATTAAGTTAAGAAAAGCTGGCTAAAAATAAGTCAAGCTACAGCCAGTCATTTACTTATAAGTAATAACAAGAGTCCATATGTTTATTTGGGTGCTGTATGATGGGTCCCTAAAGAGGAAAAGAGTAAAAACAACCAACTACATTTTAGCCTAATAACGCGAGGCTCTGGAATATCCCTATGACCTGAGAAATATATTAAAAAAGATAACAGCTCACTTAAGAAATGCTGTCATATAGCACAGTACTGAAACAACTTTTTCATAATAAATTGAAACAAAAAGCTAAGTAAAAAAGCCTTCTACAATGCAAACGTCAGCATTCTAAATCTCTGGGGGGTTTAATGCAATTTCTGGTCAAAGGAACTTCTGATGAGGCTGTGACCTATAGGCTTGGCTCCCACAACCCAAAGAGTGGGCAGAGCCAGCCTCAAGAGTGGTGCAGAGTAACCAGCTGTAGCTTAGCAGTTTAAAGTTTGCTAACAGTCAAAAAAGGCTAAAAGATATGCAGTAAAAGAGGTCCAGATGGAAAAAAATCCTCTAAATAGGCTGTAGTGTGTTTAACAATGTGCATAGGCTTAAGAGAGAGAAAGTACATAGATAATTATAGAAATACATAGTTTAGTAATAAAGTATTTTAAGAGAGAGAAAAAGTAACATAAAAGAAAAGGCATCATACCAATGGAAAATGTACAAGTCTAGATGCTGTGTAGTACTGTGTTGATCTTGAGTGTTTTGATTAATGATAAGCAAAAGACAACTGCTTGGAGACATGGTATTGGGAACAAGACCTGCAAAACTGAACAAATCAGGGCTACTGTAACTTTAAAAAAGAAGACAAATATGTATTTGTAAAATGGAATTAAAAAACTGCTTTTGTGAAGATGTTTCTTTTTGTTTCCACAGAAAATGAAAGGCTATGGATTTGCCACATGTAAATATGGACCAGGTTTGATCTGGGAGACCTCCTGAACCTTGACAAGTGATATATATCAGCAAAGGTAACCATTGGTCTTCCCAATTATCTCAATTTTCTCAGCATCCTTAATGAAGTTTTCACCCACAGATATCAGGAAGCAGTCCAGAGAAAACAGTGCCCATATTCCCAAGTGTTTGGATGTGAAAGACTTTTGGTTATTTGGTGGGGTCATGAATATTTGTTATAATGTAGGGGAATGTAGAAATATGGGATAAAAAGACAACTATTAATTTCAGATATTTTGCATTGGCATGGATTTCGGTAAACTGATACAAATTTAAAGCTATTTTTGTTACATTGTACACATGTCTCTATTCTTGTTTGTGGTATTGTGCTTATGCATCTCATTTAAAATGCAATGTATAGGGACTGGAGAAATGACTTAGTGGTTAAAAGCACTGGCTGTTCTTCTAGAGGTCCTATGTTCGATTCCCAGCAACTACATGATGACTCACAACTATCTGTAATGAGATCTGGCACACTCTTCTGGACCTTCAGGCATATATGCAGACAGAACACTGTATATAAAATAAGTACAGTTTTAATATATTTAAAAATGCTATATATAATTAAGAAAAGAGGTTAGCAGTTAACCTAAAATAATCAAAATTGTAGTCACATTAGGTATGTTTTCAAGGTTAAATGGGTATATTTTAGACAAAGAGGTGATTTTCAAAGAACTACAGAATATGGCATTTAAGTTATTTAATAAACTAAGGTTTTCCACGACAATGAGATACATCCATTCCTGGCAGCAACAGTTTACTTCATAAAAAGATAATGGTTATTGAAGAAACTCTTTATGGAATTTTCTTTCAGTGTGGCAAGGCTAGACATTTTGGCATAATGTTTTGCCTTGACTGTTTACAGTATGCTATACAAACTCACATGCAGGACCTACAGGAAAGTAACTGCTGAACTTTGACAAAACAAGGCAGGAAAGTTGGTCAAAATTCCTGCTTCACTAAAAAGTCTGCCAGATACTTTAGGCCTGTAGGCTGACAATAGATGTCCCAGCATTGCAAAGGTAATTTGTATGACTGTTTGTCTCTGTTAGGCAATATTATATCCTTCTGGAGTCTTCAATGGAGTTAAAGACTAAATAACTAGAGTTGACTGTTTTCTTAGTTATGATAGAAAGTAAATTAGGATTTACTTAGGATAGATTTACTATGATAGGATAGATAATGGAGTATTTTCTCTAAATTTGACAGACACAAGTGGACTGAACATTGCAAATGTAATTCTTATTTGATTACTGTTTTTGTTGTATGTAGTTTTACTATGTTAAAGTTAAACCTAGTTCTACTTAGACAAAAGGGAAAATGTTGTTGAATATTAATTAATTATATGTTACATATTTGTATGCTGTGGAATATTTGTTTAATGATGCAAAGACATATTGCATTCTTTTATGTTGCTTTTGTTTAACTCTGTGAAACTATGTTAATGTGCCTGCCTAAAATACCTGATTGGTCTAATAAAGAGCTGAATAGCCAATAGCTTGGCAGGAAATGGATGGCCAAGGATGCCAGGTAGGGAGAATAAAGAAAAGAAGCCAGAGAGCAAAATAGGAGCAAGAAAAGGAGGAGCAGAGGATGAAAGGGGCCAGCCACACAGAAACACAGCCCTGAAAATGCATCTTAAAGAGGAGCACAAGGAGATGGATATGGTCAGTTAAAATATTAGCTAAATAAAGAAACATTATGTCCAAGAAATTTCCATTTGCT